CCCCGGGGTCACTGCTGCAGTTGTGATGCTATACACAGGATACACCCCCACACCCGGGGTCACTGCTGCAGTTGTGATGCTATACACCGGATACTGCCCCCATGTAGATGCCAGAGGTTATCCCCCCCCGCCCCAACACACACACCCCGCACCATGTGTGGGGCTGGGGGATACACACAGGGCACTGCCCCACGTGGCTCCCAGTGTCATTAGCCTTGGGCGGCGGGAATAGCTGCAGGACACTGTCCCACCTGCCCCCCGGAGCCATTGCATCCATGGGGGGCGGGCACAGGGCATCGCTCACTCCCCGCGCGGCCCGTCACCCCCCTTGGCCCCACGCTTTTCTTGGTCATGTCTCCAGCAGATTTAAGGCCGTTTGACGTAACTCCAGAAGAACAACGACGTTCAGAGGCTGGTTGTGTTGATTTCTGTCTGGACGCTCCTTGTACAAGGAAAGGGGGCTGGTTGCTGCCCCCGGCGGGGGGCTGAAGGGGTTCAGACACAGGACCCCGCACCTCGGCACCAAGTTTGGGCAGGAAGCAGAAGACTACAACTCCCAGCATGCTGCGGGGTGCCACGGAGGAAGGTGCCTGTGGGTCTGAGCGCAGCTGGTGAGTCAGGGGGCAGCAGTCGGGCTGAGAGGGGGCGGGCAATGAGCCATGCGCGGGGAGGGGTTGAGCCCCAGTTATGCCTGTAGGAGGGTGAGGGGAAATCCCTTTTACTGGAGCCCCAGGGCACAGCTGGGGGGCAGTCCCCGTCTGGGGCGAAGAGAATGAGACCACCCCCCGCCCTGTTGTGCTCGTTAGAGACCACCTAGGCAGCTCCCTCCTAGTGTCCTGGCCCCACGGCGTGGGATATCCACCGCAGTGTCAGCTGGAAACAGGATTATCTTTCACTTCCTTACCGTGCTGGGTTCCTGTCTACACAGCTGGGGTGTAAACTACCTAGAAAATGTGGGGGAAATTGAAACAGCTAGTTACTTGCTGATCAACATTAAACTTCGTAAAAAGAAGAACAGGAGTACTTGTGGCACCTTAGAGACTAACAAATTTATTAGAGCATAAACTTTCGTGGACTACAGCCCACTTCTTCGGATGATGATGCTGTAGTCCACGAAAGCTTATGCTCTAATAAATTTGTTAGTCTCTAAGGTGCCACAAGTACTGCTGTTCTTCTTTTTGCGGATACAGACTAACACGGCTGTTACTCTGAAACCTGTCATTAAACTTCGTTTATTTCTTTAAGAATCAAATGGGTATTGTGTAGAATTTAGTTAGCACCTAACAAAATCTTGCATCTGAAGAAGTGAGGTTCTTACCCACGAAAGCTTATGCTCCCAATACTTCTGTATATACTTCTCAAAGGTGCCACAGGACCCTCTGTTGCTTTTTACAGATTCAGACTAACATGGCTATTAAGGACTGGGAATGGCTGAGCCATTACAAACATTGAATCTGGTTGCTCTTATAACCATAATCGCGCTCCCTACCGAGCATGTAATATTAGGCTGTCTTGAATATCA